ATGGGGCAGTGCATTGATGAGCATGTGACCAGCACCCGCATGCCACCACCCGGGGAACCCCCTCTCTAGCCTCCTCCCCGCCCCCTCCCTCCAGCACCGACTGTCTTCCCACCCGGCTCAGAGTCCATGGCTTGTTCCGTCGCGAGGGCTCCCCCTCGCCATGCTGTCCCCTCTCACCTCTGCCTGGCACACGTGCGGCCTGGAGAAGGCTGAGATGTGTCTGCCCCAGGGTGATGGGGACGGAGCAGAGGGCGTGCCTCTTGCAGAAGGCCCGTACGCATGCCCAGATGCCACCCCTCTCACAGCAGCGGGACGGCCCTCTCTGGAATTGTTCCCTGCTCTTCTGCACCCCAGGAATGGACCCATCAACGTTCTTAAAAAAGAATCTCACCTGGCCCCGCGCCTGCCTCCAGTCACTACCCCATGTCTTGGCTGCTCTCTAAAGAGAGCTCCCTGAGCATCACCGAGACACTCTCTCCAGCTCCCTGCTCTCATCGCTGCTCACCGTGTGCTGAGGGCAGGTGCGTCTCTGCGCCGGGCTGCGGCAGGCAGTGCTGGGTGCTCAGTGCACTCACCCCAGGGGTGTTCATGAGGTTCAGCACACACTTTCTCACCACCTCAGACCTTGGCACTTTGGCATATTAAGTATTGTCGGAGGAGGGAATTTGAGAAAAGCAGACAGGCCTTTCTGACCCCCTCCGCGCCTGCTCTGAAGCCCTTCCAGCAGCACCGAGGGGAGACCTGCAGTAGCCAGAGGGCGAGAGCATCCTTATTTTCAAGGTGCGAAGGCCAAGAAGAATCCCAACAGGCTCATTCCCCTACTCACCACACTCAGCTCAGACCCTGTCCGCCAGCTCTTCACGGGTCTGCACTCCCCATCAGACTTAGTTTTAAAACACTCAAGTGGAACCATTCCTCAGGGTTTGCATTTCCCTACGAAGGCCCCCATGACACGGCCACATGTACGTGAGAGAATTGAAAGCGCTTCCTGCCTGTTAATGCGTCTTTGTCAGGTCGTTTTCAGCCTCAAGCGGGGGCTGTAAGAGGGTTGCAAGGGCCTTTCTCCTGCCCTCTGGCAGCCGAGGGTCAGCTCTAAGTAAGCAGGTCACATCAAGCCCTCATTCCCCGCCCATGTCCCCCAAGCCGGTGGGCCAAGCCTCCCTATCCCGCCTGCCCCTCCCCCCCCCAGCTTGCAGAGCTTCAGGCCAAAGCCTCAGGGTTCACTTGACCTTCTTTTCTTCTCCTGAGGCTCTACCGCCCTCTGGTTCCAAAACCTGCCCTCACCCTCCTTGCTCAAGCCAGTTTCCCTGCTCTCCCGCTGCTGACCCCTGGGCTCTCCTGCTTCAGTGGGCATGTGAGCACCCCTTGCCCAACGCGGGAAGGAAGGGCTAGCCATGGCCTCCCCAGCAACGCCTCATCCAGGCGCAATTTCCCATCTCTGAGCAGGGCACCCTGGATAGGTGACGTTGCAGGACCGGCCTGTGGAAAGCCAGCTGGCCACGTTGCTGCGCACTGTACACCCAATCAACTCCAGATGGCTCCAAAACTTCATGTGAAAAAATGAAACCATAAAAATCCTAGAAGGAACCCTGGGGTGGGGACGGCCTTCCTAAGTATATCATGAAAACCAGGAACCATAAACGAAGACAGAGAAATTAAAAACTTCTGTACGGCGAACCCCCGCCCCGTCACTGTGGTTAGACCAATGTCAACGGGGGTACGCGCCCCCGTGTGGCAGTGGAGGCTGAATCTTCCTAACGTGAAGCAGGCTCCTGTCAAAGCCAGCGGCCGGAAGCCAGGCCGTGAGGAAGGGGAGCGCCGACCCAGGAGAGACAGGTGGCGGTTTCCGGCCTCCTCCCTGCTGGCTTACGGGGCCTCGCAGACATCACGCTCGTGCCCCTTCAGACCAAGCGTGGATGGCTTCTCATGACTTCCCGAGACGGCAATCCAGAAACGTGCAGCAAAACCGACCCTTGGACCTGCCGATGAGTCCTGCCGCTCCCTGAACATGCTCCGAACCAGCCGCCAGCCTCTCAGGCCGCGCCGACAGCTGCCCTGTGTCCACCTCCTGCTCGTGGGTGCTCCTGTCTCGGGATGCACCGCCACCTTCTCTGTGTGTGGCATGGTGCCAGCTCTCACCACCCAGCTGGGGCAGCCCAACAGGCTTGCTCCCTGGGCCCTTTCATGGCCACCGGCCCCGCCTGGCCAGGTCATCCTGAGCACACGGGCTTGTCTCTCCTGCTGTGAGAACTTCTCCTGACCGCATCCCCTGCAGCTTGCCCACATTCCTGTAACCTGACAGAGCCATCTCTGCTCCTGTCAACGGGTAGTCTTTGATTCTCCTTTTCCTGGGTATTAACAGCGCTTGACGATGAGCTCGCAGCACCCTCCTGCGTGCACCCTAGAGAGCTCCCTCTCCTGGCTTCGCTCCTGCGCCACTGGCTTCTTTGCACTTTCCTTGGGCCTCTTCGCAATCCCACCTCTTAGCTTTGGGGGGGGGGGTTGCAGTCCTTTCTCTTCTCTGTGATAGCCGTTTCTGTGGTGACTTCTATCTGCCTCGTGCTTTAGATGCCACCTGATGGCTGTCTCAAATTCCTGTCTCTCTCAGGCCTTTTCCAGACTCCTGTATCCCGAGAGCTACTGGACGGCTCCCTGGCATACCTATTAGGCCCTGTGCCAGGCGTCCCGAAGCAGGCGCCTAACCAGCCACCCCTGGCCAGTTCCTCCAAAACCCTCGACTGCTCTTCTGGCGCTCACTCGGCACACCCAAACCTGTGAGGAACTCCTTTGCCTCCAAATCCTTCTCTCCATCCCTTTCTAGCTGTTTTTCTGTTCAGAATAAGATCACTCTGGCCATCCTGTCCATGTGTCCTGACCACTGGGGCGAGCCGCTTGGGGGGCATCGGTAGCTCCTGGCGGGTTCAAGCGGCAGTGCTGGGCCTTGGGCCAAAGCTCCCTGTCTGGCTGACCCGGCTTACATTGCCAAAGCTGCAGCTGGGGGGGGGGGGGCGACTGCAGTGTAGGGGACCTAATCCCTGGGAGTGGGGTTGCTAGGTCACCGGGCTCAGGCATGTTCGACCCCACTGTCCTACCTGTCAGCAGGGTGGGGTGGGGGTGGGGAAACAGGAGTGCGGGTGGGCCCACGGCGACGGACGTTGCTGATGTTGTCAAACACCCACAGCAAGCTCGGCCTGGGTGCCTAGTTGCTTCCAAAGCTCTGGTGGGGCGCCACGTGTTGATGCCAATGCAGGTCTCCAGGTAGGGACCTGGCAAGTACCTGCCATGAGTGAGTTGAACCGGAGGGGTAAAGCAGCTCTCGCCAAAGCAAGATGCACAGTCGTGTATCGCGGGACCTGTTAGCGTTGCATGTGGTCATTCTCGCGTTACTCGTCACACAGTGTATGTTTATATTTACATTTTAAAGGTGATTTTCAAAAAATCCCTTCTTTTATTTCCGTCTGGACACTCTAGGAAGTGTCTGGAAGTTTTCCCAGGAAACTGTGGGATAGTGCTGTAGTTGGCTCTTTTTTCCTTTTTGTACGCTTTGAAGTTTTATGAGAGCGTGTTACTTTCATCATTAACACACACACAGACACACACCCCAATAAAAACGAAGCAGAAGAGAGCTGTTCTTAACATCCCACCGCCTGACGGTCCTTGCGCTGCTGGGCAGCGCGGCCCACCTGGCTTGAGCCCCTCCAGGCGTGTGAGTCCTCTCGTGAGCTGCCAGGCGTGAGCTGCTCGAGTCTGGCCACTTCCTAGAGTCAACAGTGATGTGTCACTGCGGAAAAGCTGCAACTGTGGCCCCACCCCATGCTGGGAGGAAGGTCAGCACCCTCAAGAGGCTGCTGACTGCCAGAGGCCAGCCAGCCCACCGGCCACCGCGCCGCGAGAAACAGAGCCCGTGGTCAGGGGGGCAGCGCTGAAGGGGCCTGCGCCCCTGCTGCCGACGCTGTCGCCTGAGTCAAGGGCTACTTCGATGTAAAACACACAGCACGTGGCGGTGGCCGGGTGCAGGACCCACTACACCCGCGGTGGCCCCAAGGTCGCTGCCAAGGGAGTGGGGAGGGCTGCGGGAGGGGCGGGGGCCTCACGAGCAGCCACTCCGCCGCCCGGTGCCCGGAAGCCAGGACAACGGAGCGGGGCAGCTTCCGGCATAGCCAGCAAACACAGATGCTGCTTGAAAATTCTCTGCGGCCGGCCCGCGGGGCGGCCACCGGTGCCCATCGCTGGGCACCACCCAACTCCACACTGTGGGAAGCTTGCTGGCTTCCAAGCCGAGCGACCTTTCTTCGGGCGAGCGAGGCCTCCCAAGGAAGCGGGTTTGTTTCGTAAATGAACAGGGGAGCGTCAACGCGGCACTTCAGCCCCGCCACACTGCACGGCAGGCGGCACCACCTCGCGCCAAGCGCGTATGGCAACCGCAATTGGACGATCTGGATGTTGCGTCAGGGCGAGGGAAGCTCTGTCCTGGCCTGACTCGGCCTCTGCGTCACGGCAGGCCTTGCTGCCCTGGTGTGGACACGCGGCTCCGAGTGCCCCCCTTTCCTCGGGGCCCCACGCCCCCTCGCCCTCAGACACCGCTCAGCGGGTCGGGCCTGCCCGCCCCGGGCCTGCCCTCAGCTCCGGGACACCTGCGCCGACCCTGTCTGCAAACAGGCTCGCAGGCGCGAGCCCCAGGAGTCTGGGGAGACGCTTTCAACGCAGCACCCCCCTCTCGCGTTGGCTGCAAATTATTTGTGCTCGTTTGAAAACTGAGTAAATAAGCCTGGCAGCTTGCGTCCCGATGGCATTAGGCCTGGTTGGGGTGACTGAGAGCTTCTTCAGGTCACAGACCGTGGCCCCTGGGGGTCCCCACTGAGGACACAGCCTGCTTGTCAATATTTGTCAAACAGAGGGAGAAGACAAGGGAGGAAGTTGCTGTGCTGAAAAGCCAACCGCAGGTCCAGGGTCTTTGCAGTTCGTCCCTTAGATGTGAAGGTTGGGCTCAGGGCAGCATGCAACTGCTCCTCTGTTGAATTTATTTCGGGGGGGGGGCGCGGGAGGGAGAGGGTCAACATGTGTTTCGGAATAACTGGAGGAAGCGATAAGGAAACCCGATGCCCAGCTGCCCTGAAGGGCCAGGGCTGGGGATGGCAGCTCTGCTGGAGCCTGGCAAGGGCTCAGGAGGGCGGCACCAGCAGGCCCCTCCCTCAGAAGCATTTGCCCGGCTGCTGCGAACTCATCTTGCGCCCTTCGATGTCGCTGCGCGGCAGGAGCCCTCCTATGTGGCGGGACCTACTTTCACCTCCCATTCCCTGGCCTCCACTTCAGCTCTGACAAAGGAGCCCCGCTGCTTCTCCTGGCTGGGCTTGGAAAGGGTACAGAGGACAGGCGTTCTGTGTTACCAGGGCCTGAGGCCTTCTGGCCCTGAGTGGACACAGTTTTATACAGGAAGTAGCTGAGCTGGGAGATGAGCGGAGGGCAGGAAGCGGTATTCAGGATGCCGCTGGGCAGGGCACGTTTAGGGTTTGGGGGGCTGTGAGGCAAACCCAGTGGAGGAGAAGAGCCGGCTCTGGTGCTCGGGGGCCGGGACTCAGAGGCACTGGCCAGGGCAGAGGCCAGAGACCCTGACGTTGCCCGGGCAAGCCGGGAAGGGAGAGTGGGTGTCACATGAGCCTCGGTCAGCTCCCCTGATAGGCCCGTGAGGGGCTTCCAAGAAGGGGCAGTACAGGCTGACGTCGGAGCAGCGGCAGGGGCGGCGGACTGAGCCGACTCAAGCCAGTCCGAGCAGGGAGCAAGAGGAGGGACGCAAAGCCCAGGGCCTTGCCCGGAAAGGGCACTCGCGGCCATTCACAAGTGGGCGGTGCCTGCTGCGAGCCCCGTGCCACGAAGACGGGGAGACGACGGCCACCGCGGCCTGAGCAGACCCCTCCCGCCAGGGCCTGCAGCAGGCAGAGCTGTAGCCCTCCGCAGCCCTCCCTCTGCCCCCCCACCGGCAATGCGGGGAAGCCCAGGGGCCGCTCAGAGGCGGCCCCAGCTCAGTAGCGGTCACCTTGCGGTCCAGCCCTCAGAGGAGACCGGGTGCTGCTGTGGGCACGGGAAGGAAGGGCAGGAGGTCAGCTTTAGTCTAGAGGGCTCTGCCACGCTGTCTGTGGGCAGGAGTGGCTGGCACAACTTGAAACACATGTGGCCCCTGACTCTGCCCCAGGGTGCCTGGTGCCTACTTAGAAATCCCCACTTTTCAGACGAAGTCCATGTGGCCTCAGGCGGGCTACGGAGATTCAGAGCTCCGAGGGACGTAGAGGGGGGTGGGGCATTTTAGGAGGGGCCGCGTCAAAGCACCGACGGGCTCAGGAACCTTCAGCCTGGCTGCTCAGCGCCGGGTCCCGGGCATGGCCTGCCAGGCCCGGCGACGATGTGAAGGCGTTTGGAGGGCTCACGGATTCAGAGCGCTGCTCTCTGAAAGCCGGCGGCGCTGTGTGCTTCCTGCGCCCAGTGTCAGCCTGTCGGGAGTCAGCCTCCTCGCTTGGCAGCTGCGTCCCAACACTGGCCCCCGGGCTGTGATGGACTGTCTTCGCTTGGAATGGTGGGTCCACTTAGTGCCCAGATCATGAGCCCGGAGTTGTGTGGGGGCAGGTTACCTGCCAGGCAGAGTCCGTGGCAGTGGTAGGAAGAGCCACGACGGTGAGGTGAGAGCTGCCTGTGGGGAAGGGCAGCGCAGCTCTTCGGCAGGAATTAGTCCCACACCATGGAAGCCGCCGCTGCCAACGCGAAGGCCCTGCACGTCCAGGGCCTCCAGAACTGAGGCACAGGCACACCCAACACCGGCGCTCGGACGTGCACCAAAGACACGCGCAGGGTGTACCTACCACAGCACGGCTTGCCGGCCAAGGGCAAGCCCTGGGCCCATGGACGAGGAAGCCCCGTCCCAGGCTGGACTGGCCCATGCAGTGACGACGCACCTCGCGCTCCGCACACGGATGCACGGAAGCAGACGTGTGACAGACTCTGAGGCTCGGGCACCGCATAGCTGGCACGAGAGCACCGACCTGGCCGTGGGTGCCGCAGCTACGTGGCCTGTCCCCGGGGGCAGAAGTGGCTCAGATGCACGGGGCAGGACAGCTGAGGTGCCGGCCACTTTGCATTTCTCGAGCTGGACACTCTCACACAGCTGCCCCCTGTGGCCCACTGTCAAGCCGTAGCTGCACGTTCTCTCTGCTTCAACACATACAGTACTATTTGCATTAAAATGGCTGCAACCCCCATGCCCCCTTGAGAACCTGCAGGGGAGGAGCAGTGAGCAGGGCTGCTGTCCTTTGTTAGCGACTGAACAGCAAAGGCCTCCGTGTCACTGACGCGGGTCCGGCCCAGCCCCTGGGACACAGGTCAGGGCAGCAAGCAGCCTTCACCTGGGGCTCAGCGGGGGACCAGGGCGGACTGGCCGGCCCGCTGTGCGGGCTCCTGACTGCTGCTGCGGGCGGAGTGGAGCCGGGTGGAGTCAGGGACCCAGGCGGCTGTGCTCCTCACCCAGGCTGGTTGTGGCCAAGCAGAAAACAGGGCGCCGGCCCCAGGCCCTCTGAGTCTGTGCGGCACAGCGGGGCTCCGTGCGGTGGTACAGCCAGCCCCGTGCCTTCCGGCTGGGCCTGCTTGCCTGGCTCAGTTCTCCCAACTTCGCATGGTACCGGCTCCCGCAGGCCTCACGAGCAGCGCTGGCCCTCGGGGTCCTGAACACAGGCCGGGGGCATCCTGTCCTCGGCTCTGCAAGACAGGCGTGCACGGCCCTGCGGTCACAGAGCTCTTTGGGGCTCTGGGAATATCTGAAGGCACCTCTGAGTTTTTATAGCCTCTTGCTTACAAGTACAAGGAAAACAATTTAGGGGGTGTGGATGGCACAGGCTGGTTCTTACACACACACTCACAGACGCCACTTGCGTCTTGCGAGCTTGGTTGGCCAAGAGTGCCCACAGCTGGCCCTTTTCTGAGGCCCGTGGAGCCACAGGGGAAGGGCCTCCCTGACCGGCGTTTTGTGTGCTGGTTGTGAAAGGCAAGTTACCACAAGATGAGGCTCATAGCCCGGCAGTCACCAGATTTCACTTGTGGCCAGATCTGGGCACAGAGTGGGGATGACGTCACCGGAGCTTCACGTTATTTCATCCAATTAAGCCAGAGTTAATTAGTATGTCCAAAGAGCTTTGAAGCTGCGGAGCTCTGTTTATTCACGGCCTTGATGGAAGTGGTAAGTTAAGAGAGACGAGGCGAAAAACACAGCCACGTCAGACTGACTGGAACACATTTGCCAAGGTGTCTGCGAGAGTCCTGCGCCACCACAAGTGCCCCACCCTCAAGGCTGCTAACCAGCTTGCACGGGTGCAGGGCTGGGGGCTCCCGCCAGCTGGGGGAGGCCTAAATGTGGGTCCCAACTGGGAGCTTTGGCAGAAGCCATGGCCAGCAGGGAAGGTGGCGGCCTTTGCCCTTTGCAACTCCAGGTGGGCGTGGGGGCTCCCTCAGCCAGTGAACCGCACCTCAGCCTTCTGACGCCAGCGCGGTCTGCCGCCTTGGGAAGCTTCGCCGGCCGCGCTGCACACAGCGTCCTGTGCTCTTCCCTTTCGGAAGCGCTGACAGCGTGGCGCACGCCACGAGGCCGTCCCCCCTCCCCCGCTGTCACCCCAGCTGAAGCCGGGAGGTGCCGCGTGTACAACGAAGCTTCATTCTTGTGACTTTCCCCAGTAAGAGGGCCCAGCGCCTCGGGAAGGTGCTGCTCGGAAGACTACAGAGCGTCCCGTTGTGATCAATCGTCTTTCATGAGTGAGTGCATTTTTCTTATTGGACAAATTTCGGTCCTCCCTGATTTGTGACCGCTTATGAGAAAAAAAGGGGGTGAGGGAAGTTGGCCCCAAAAGGCCACCAGTTCGGAGCGAACGTGGGCCCAGGGAACGCCAGTCCCGGAGGATGCTTTAGCCGGGTCCTCTCCGCAGCTCCTGTGGGCTCAGGGCAGGCTGGCTTCGAGGTGCGGGGCAGGATCAGAAGGGCCTGGGCCCCAGGAGCGCGGGTGAGCAGGTGAGCCAGCACTCGCTGTGCCCGCTGAACGCCCCCTCTTCAGCCCCTCCCCGGACCTGTGCCACCCTACTCTGTGTGCCATTTGCCTCCACAGGCCCCTCCCGAGTGAGTCACACTGTGATGGCACTTTTGTGAACACCACGCTTCGTTGGCGCCCGTCCTCGGTGTCCCGTCCTCCAGTCGTAGCACATGGCAGCAGGTCCCTCCTTTCCAGGCCCGGTGACATTCTGCTGTGTGTGCACACGGCGCCTTCTTGGCCACTCGCCACCCACAGACTCCCGCTGCTTGTGAAGCACACTGCGTGAACGTGGCTGCGTGAACGTGGCGGTGCAGGTTCCTTTTCAGGCTGCTGTTGGCATGAGCACACGCCCAGATGTGGACCCCCACAGCAGTCCCACGTGGAGCATTCGAGGGCCCTCCACACTGATGTCCACAGCAGCGGCGCCGTTTTGCAATACATTCCTGCCAGTGCAGCGCAATCTCTCCATGTTGCCGCCGACACTTCTTTCCTGTTCAAAAAAAAAAATTTTATAGCAGCCATCCTAACCCGTGTGAGCTGGTCATTCCCGACGCTTCTGATGCACTCCCCTGGAGACGAGTGAGGTGCAGAGAGCACCTTTTATGTGCCTGTTGGCCTCCCAGTCCCTTTGAGGTCACCTTTATGCGGAATTTGACAAATGTTTCACAAAGGGGACGGCAGTATTTTGTTTTATGGGCACAAGGTCTGTGCCATACCATGAACTTGGAGAGTGAAGGCAGTGTGCATGCCCCTCCCCTACCTGTAGGAGCACTTTGGAGACACAAGTCACTCTAGAAAGTTCTTTGGGGCATTTTTTGGTTGAAGGGCTAATGTGGACAAACTAGCTGGGGCTGAGTGGGTGACAGGCAGACCAGATAACCAGAAGGTTCTGCTTTGGGTTCACTATGCTTAGGTGTCTCCCACGGCTGACACTTAGGCAGTGCTGGTGAAAACAGGGGCATACTGGTAAGGGAAGGTGCTACTCCCAACACGCCTCTTCTGTTTTGCCCATCCCCCTCTCTTTGTGCATTCGAGAACCTCAGGTCAGCGCCCGTGCTCCTCCCCCACATGGGCTGCCTCAATCCATATGGGTCACGGAGGGGTGAACCTGCCTGGGGGATCAGGTGCCCTACAGGACAACTCCCCAAGTGTCCCTGGCCAAGGTTGCTCTCTGGGGCTCCCCCTGCTGGTTGATGTGAGCAGCGGCGGCTCCTTCCCGGCAATGTCCTCCTCAGCACTTTACACCCATCGGAGGAAGAAATGACGCCGGAGATGGAGATGGACATGCCGCTGAGCCTTACCAGGAGCTTGTGTGCTAGCTTGCTGGGCTGGCAGCAATGAGGGAAAGCTGTAGAAGTTGTACAGAGAGGTATTTAGTCCAGCCGAAGGGAGGACTTTCCAGCAGCAAGAGCTGTCTTCCACAGAAGCCAAGAAGCTTCCAGGAGAAAGGAAGCCTGGGGCTTGTGGTTGGCAGGTAGAGAGGCACACCACTGCCGGCCCGCCTGCCCAGCCAGCCTCTGCGGGCTGCAGTCCTGCTTCCGGCTCAGGCTCCCCAGGTGAAGAGCTGCCTTCAGGCACCTGCTGACCCAGGAGCACACACATGGGGGCGCTTTGCCCTCTCGGCTGGTCTCCTGGAAGGACACCCCAAAGTAGCTTTCCCACAGCCACTGGCCACCACCCGCTGGCTTACACTCTGTATTGGGTCACGGTCTGTTTCAGAAAGCTGATGACAGCTGTGTGCCCTCGGGACGGCACTGCCCTCGGGGAGCTCCCAGCCCGTGGTGCGGGATGCTCACGCTGAGCCGAATGCGGCCAAGCTCCAGAGCCACAGAGAAGGGAGCTGGCGTTTCTGGGCCCAGCGGCTGGAGGAGGAGCCAGGGAGGCAGCAGGACAGTGAGCAGGGCTGTGACAAGGGCAGCGCGGCTGGGGCGCAGCAGGCGTGGAGACGGAGGAAGCGGCAGGGCCGTGCACACGCTCGGGCGCTCAGGGGGGCCACGGCAGTTCCCGCGGACTCGCAGGGTGGCGGCCGCACACTGCTCCTGGGGTCTGGCCAGGCGCCACCAGGCCGGTGGCCCACCCAGGTCAGCGCGGCTGTGAGGGCAGAGGGACGGACGAGTGTCGCCAGTGAGCATGCGGAGAAGGGTTGGACTTGTCCCTCCCACTGCAGCTGTTTCGGCCCCACCAATGTTCTCAGCCACCAGGAAGGGGCGGGGTGGCCCCGAGGAATAGGGCCTGTGGTGGGGCGAGGTCAGCCTCGTGGTGGTTGGTGTGCTCGTGGGGTCCAGTGACCTGGCGGGAGGCCACGGCAGTGTTTGCCAGAACCAAGTGCCGCCTGCACTCGAGTCTCGCTGCAGCGGGCCAGGGCTGGGGGCTCCCGCCAGCTGGGGGAGGCCTAAATGTGGGTCCCAACTGGGAGCTTTGGCAGCTGTGGCCAGCAGGGAAGGTGGCGGCCTTTGCCCTTTGCAACTCCAGGTGGCATGGGGGGAAGGTGAGGGTGTGGCGCATGCCCACTAGGCTATGGCCCCAACTGAAGCCCGGGAGGCGCGGCGTGTACAACCAGCTGGGCCAGCGGGTGGGCGGAGAGGTCCCCGGAGGCAGCTTGGGGTAGACACAGAGTGCACGATCTCAAGTTTCACCACGCCCTTCTTTGTGCCAAGGCATCTTTTGCATTGTCCCAGGAAAACCATGAGGACAGAGCCAAGGGCAACTTGGTGCTCCTCAGGTCTGTCAGCCTCAACCGGCCAGTGGTGGCCCACTCAGCCCAAGCAGGGTCTAGGCCTGGCTCGTGCCCCTCACCCACTCCCACCCAGGCCGGTAGGCACCATGAAGGCACTGGGAACAAGTGTGACGTTCGCTTCAGTATCAGTGGTGTCCTGAGGCTCCAGGGTCACGTGAGCCCTCCACCTGGGGCCACGCAGCCTCAGTGACCTCCCCTTTCTCCAGGCCCCCGCTCCAAGCTAGGCAGCCGCTTCACTGATAATGAGACGTGGCATCCTGAGATGCCCTGGGGGGCTGCACCAACTTCTCCTCAGGGTCCAACTTGGTGCCAGCGAGTCACTTCCAGTGGGCACCGCACCAGGGGTCGCAGGGGCTTGCACCATTCTGATGCCTCAGGGGCGACGCCTGGCTCCTGTTTGTGAACCCACAACTATCAGCTTAGCAGCTTCATCTGGTAACTTCAAAACTGGCCTGAGAGGTTATTCTGACTGTGAGCCGCAAGGAAGCAGCTCTTTCTGCATCTTCTCTGGGGTTTCTCCCCAGACACTACTGGAAATAAAGCCGGCTCCCAGCCCCAGTCAGCCTCAGCCAGTGGATTGTTTCTTCCCTAGTTTCCTCCGTTATGTCCAAGGATGGCGGGCGGTAAGGGACCCAGGAGGACAGTGAGAAAGGGAGGGGAGGAGGGCGCGGGCCCACAACAGTGAACTAGGAAGCTGCTCGAAGCAACCCACACGCGGCCCCATGGCTGCTGCTCTGGCTGGCCGCAAGATGTGGCGGGAGCACCCTCACGTGGGCCGCAGGAGTGCTAAGCCAACAGGACGTTGCTTGAAAGACACCCGTTTATTGGCCCATGGGCAGAGTGGTCTGTGGGGGACCCATCGGAAGGGCTCGGCCTGTGGGGTGCCTCACTTGACCCTCTGCAGGTGGCGGAAGCTCTGCACGGTCCTTGCCACCGCATCATCCATGGTGACCAGCGGCCGGTAGCCCATGGCGCGCTTGGCTTTCTCACAGCTGTAGTAGTGGAACGTGCCGGCCAGCGCCACCCGCATGGGCGTGAAGGTGGGCTGCAGCTGGACCAGAGGGCTGAGCAGCATCGCCAGCAGGGACAGCAGACAGGCCAGGTAGTAGGCCACCCAGTAGGGGATGCGGTACTTGGGGGCCTCGTAGTTGAGGCCTGTCAGGATGCGGGACAGGAAGGTCCAGAAGGGGATGGGGTCGTCGTTGGTGATGTGGAACGCCTGCGGAGAGAGCGGCGTCAGAGGCGCCTCGGCCCCGGAGCTCGGCGGGACCAGCGCTGGGGACCGGTGGCTGCTGGCGTGACAGCGCTCCGCCAGCGCCAGCCGGGCAGAGGCTGTGGCAGAGAGGCCACTGCATCCGCGGCTTGTGAGCCGGGGGCTGATGAGGGGCTCTGGCTGCGGGCCAGCACGCAGCGTGGTGTGTGGAGCGTGCTGGGAATCGTCACTTGTGGATTCAATCCAGGATCAGTGTCTACCCTGCTAAGACTCATCTGTTTGTTCTCAGCTGTAGTGAACAGGTCAGACTATTCCTCAACCATGTCGAAACCAACGACCGTTCTCATGTGCCCACGTTCTGCAAGTCACACGGGAAAGAGCTGAGGTGGAGGGGAAAGAATGACAGCCCGCGGGGGCATTTCGGGGGCAGACAGGATGGCCAGGGTCGCAGGGTCAGTGTGTCCTGCTGTCTCTGCACGGGAACTGACACCCGCGGGCCCACCCCACCCACTGGGAGCCAAACACCAGGAGATTCAGATACATCTGCCCCTGCTGGGGGTAGAGCAGGCAGGGGAGAGGGCGGCGTCGCCTGCGTCCAGCGACCGTTGGCTGCCCACAGCATGCAGCACAGCCAGGGCCCCGTGCTCCGCCATGGGGCTCAGCCTGGCCCACCCAGCAGGCACCTCACCTTCCCGCAGAGGGACGAGTCTCGGGACAGGCGCTCCGCGGCCAGGATGTGCCCATGCACCACGTTGTCCACGAAGGTGAAGTCCACTAAGTTCTTGCCATTCCTGTGGCCAGAGGGGACACCCTGTCACTTGGAGACAACAAGCACCTGCCAGGGCCTCAGCCCAGGATGCCACAGCTGACCTGGGCAATGCCAGCTGCTGGCTTGTCTGGATGTTCAGTTGCGGTGTGTGCGGGCACACGGGAGGGCAGGGAGTGGACGTGGGGCGCCTGCTGGCATGCGCGCAGGGCCACTGCTGTGCCTTCTGCCCCGGGCCCCGCCCCTCGGACTCTGACCTCTAAGCAGCAGGGCAGGATGGCACAGAGCAAGAGGCGGGGCCCGGTAGCGGCACAGGCCAAGCGCCATTCTGGACGCGTGTAGACCAGAGCCTGCACCTGGTCAACTGTTTCCCCTCTGAGCCCACTGCCTCAGTTTCCAAACTGGCACAATGTTTTCCAGTGACACGACAGGGTGTGCTGGGTTGAAAGCGTCTCCCTAGATTCCTGGGGGCCCCGCCCCTGTTGAGCCTGCTTGCAAACAGGGTCCGCGCTGGTGTACCTGAGGTGAGGCAGGGCCCAGGGGCAGAGGCCCCGATCTGCTGAGCAGTGTCTGAGAGTGAGGGGGACAAGAGGACTCAGGCACCGAGGAAAGGCGGGGGGCAGGGGGCCGGCTGGAGCTGCAGTCCGCACCGGGGAGCATCCAGGCTCGCCGGGGGCCTCTAGACACTATGAGAGAAGCGGACAGAGCCTCGGCTCCCGAGGAAAGCAGCACCCCCACAGCCACACGCTGAGACTGCCAGCCTCGAGGACCGGGAGAAGCTGCGGCCGCGCGGGTGTTCTGCGTGCCTGCTTGTGCTCGCTGGCTGCACAGCCCACGGAGGGCCACTGGCCCAGCGGAGGGGCCGAGCCCGCAGCCTCTGGGCTGCAATGCTCCTGAGTGCTGCCAGGCCGGGGCCGGAGGGAGCAGCCACAGGCCACTCACCCAATTATGAACTTCATCTTGCCCTTCCTGGCTGCGTCGACGAGGACAGGGACCATGTTGGTGTCCCTGGGACCAAAGATCCCGTGAGGGCGGATGGCTGTGGTCAAAAAATTCCCATCGGGGTCGCTGGCATCCAGGACGGCCTGGGGGAGAGCAGAAGCATGTCCGTGGCCGAAGCACAGCACAGGGGGACAGTGCCCCAAGGGGACAGGCCTCGCTGAAGCCCCACAGCTGAGACCCGTGTGACCGTGGGCTCCTTCTCTGTTCCACCCACACCCACCACCAAAGTCTCAAATGCAGCAGTGACCCATAGGACCAGACGAAATAGCTGTCCGGGGGCGTGAAGACTGAAATTCTTGGAGAAGAGCGCTGGAAAGACTGGGGCTCCAGTCAGTGAGGCAGCCAGGAGCCCCAAGAGGCAGTTACGCCGAACTGCCAGTGCTCAGCCCTTCTGCCAGTTCTGAGCACAAGCCCTGGGAAGGGACTTGGACGGACAGATGCAGGCCCAGGAGGCGCGTGCGAGGGCGAAGGGCCCGGGCATTAGGAGCTGCGCCCACTAAGCCCATCCTGTGACCTCGCTGGGTGGCCGGGAAGCGCTTTCACCATTATTCCCTCCACCTGCAGCCCCGACGGGAAAGGTGTTTTCCATGCGGCTGAAGACAGGTCAACCTTGAACGCGCTTGTGAAGCAGCAAAGCTTCCTGGAGGACCCGTTCTGTTGCAGGTAAAAGTGGCACCTGCTCTGGCACGCGGCCTGGCGGGGCCCAGAGCTACTGCAACAGCAACCGACCGTAGCCCTGCGGGGTGTGCCGCGCGGTGGGTGGAGGAGGTCTCTCCTCCCTGCGGGCAGAGCTTTCGCTCTTGCCTCATCTCAGCACGCGTAAGCTGCCCGTTGGTGGGGTAGCTGGCAAGCGTCCTTGCCGCAGGCAGGGCTGTCCCGGTCCCCGCACGAGGGGTGGTGATGCCAGCCTGCGACGCCCTCTGCCAGGGCTTGTTTCTGCTACTAACGAGGACACTCAGAGAGGCCTATGTGAGCACCTCATTCTGGGACCGATGGGGCCACACTGTGAAAGGGGGGTCCGTGAGGGTCACTGCTGGCCACAATTTCCCCTTGGGCACCCGAGAGTCAAGCAAGGACACGGCGGTCACACTCAGCGCTCACGGGCCCGGAGGGGAGGTGGCTGCTGCCCTGCGGGGCGGCACAGGCCCAGCATAAGCTCCGGGCCCCTCGGGCAAGTCTAGCTGGTGGGACTTCTGGGCGGTCTCCCCGGGCAAGGCCCAGAGAGGCTGGGCCTGGAGTCAAGCTTCCACTTGCCCAAGGCCAAGCCTCCATGCTCCAGAGCGCCCAGAAGTCCCACCAGCTAGAGAGCTCTCCTGGGACTCTGAGCTGGAGCACCAGTCCGGCTGGTCGGCAGCTGGCTCTTTGCAGCCCAGGGGCATCTACACTGACTCAGAGCTTGGCTCTGCACCGAGGGGCGCTGAGGGAGGGCAAAGCCCGGTGCAGGCGCTACGCCGCACAACCGCGGGGCTCTCAGGCCCACAGCTACGGGGCCGTTCGGGGCCAAAGAGCGCCTATGGCCTTCAGGATGTCCTCGAGGCAACTCCTGGGACTGATGCTGTGGCCTCGCTGCAGCAAATAGCTGTCAGGGTCCTGGGAGCGCACAAGCCCGCAGCCCAGTGGCCATGACTCACGCGAGATAGTTGCTCACCCCTCAGCGCCCTGGCAAAGCCAAGTGGAAGAATCCTTTTCCTTCAAGTAAAGCCATATCCTGCCACTGTGAAAACAAAGGGAGGACCTGAGGGGGCCGGGAGGAAAGTGTCTGAACGGAGACACTGGTGGCGTGGCAGGCCTGACCTCTGCCCGAGCCTGACGCCTGGTCCATCACCTCTGCTTCTGGTGTCCACGGCAACCGAGAACCCTGGCCTGTCCCGACAGACCCTGAATGACTGCCGAGGTCCAGCCACTACAAGCCGCCGGGCCCACCGGGAAGGCTCGGAATCTCTGTGGCACCCACCATCACCTATACTCTGGCAAGTCTCACCCTGTGGGGTCAGTGCCTGCTATACCCAGCTGTTCTGTTGTTGTATTTTAAACTGAATTTCATTCATAAATTTCACTTGCCTAGTGTGGCACTCAGCAGCAGAGTACTGACCCTCTGGTCACCCCACTGGAGGCTCTGAACCCACCAGGTACTCATGGGGCTTTCTGGGCGCCCGCTGGCTGTTGCTGGCCACCTACTTGCTCCTGTAAGATCTTTGTCTTCGTGTAGTAGTCGATGGGGTGCGTGGCGTAAGGGAGGTCCTCGCTGCCATTCTTGACGTCGCTGCCATTAAAGACCACGCTGGCACTGCTGGTTAAGATGAGTTTCTGGCAGAGGAGAAATGAAGACTTAGAAGATGCAGGGCAGCAAAGCTCACGTTTCAGCATCCTGGGGGCCACATGCCCAGAGTGAGCGGCGCCTCTGTATACCTGCACACAGGCCTGGCCTGTGACGTCACTACAGCTCAGGCAGTTCCAAGATCACCACCTTTGGTAGTGACGGAGGTTCGAGGCCCACCGCGGAGGTCTGTCCTATCAGCAGTGGTGGCAGGTGACAGCAGACCCTGTGCCATGCAGTGATGCCAGGGGCGCCAGCTGCATGGCACGGACACTTCATGGGGGAAGGGCAGCCAGGCTTCCAGAGAGACGCCTGTCGGAGAAAGCCCTCCCTGTACGCGACATCGGACCGGAAATCCCAGCAGGCACAGCAAGCTAAGATGAACTGCGCACCACTCACAGCAGCTACAGATGTCTACAGACAACCCTGCGACTGCACGGACGACGTGAAAGCAAGAGCTCAGCTCGCTGCTTGAGTACAAAACCACTATGCAAGATCACCTATGCGTTACCCCAGCGACGGACACGGACTGTGACAACTGAAACTGCGTGCACAGGAATAAGAACGGATGTGCAGAACGTGCAGGAAGCACAGAAACCGCTGGAAGGCAGGAGAGCAAGAGAGAAACGTGTGCACGGAGGCGGACTCGAGACCCGGACGCTGTCAGTTCTTTCTCAAGTCACCCGTATCCCAGGCCACGTCAGCCTTTCTGGCCATTCACGCAGCAACGGGCAGACACCCCTGGGAGTGGGTGTAGGCTGATGGGTGCTGTCGGCCAGGGACTGGCGCCATGCAGGCGAGGCTGACAACACCGGGCAGCCAGGCAGCACACCACAGCTGCCGTTCGCCAGGTTTCTGGCTGGGCAGGAAATACAGCTGGCTTGCCCGTGATGCTACGGGCAGCTCTGGAAAACGGTATGGCCTCGAGAGGCCAACCAGGAATGACTGCACGATCGCGGAATCCACTTCTGGCATTTCCCCAGGCGAGCGGAAGGCAGAGAGCAGGCCTTGGGCCCTGCAGCCAAAGGCACAGACAGCTGAACGGCCGCTGGCACCCGGGTGGGGGCCGGAGCGCGGTGGGCCCACGCTCTGTGGGCTGAAACCAAGCAGACGTCACTGCGACACTGGGCCTCCACCTTCAAGGAGACAGGAAGGAGGCAGGCGGGGTCGGAGTGGGGATCAGGTGGGAGCGCGGAATGGGCCAGTTTCAGCTCCAGAAAGTGGCCAGGACATAACTGGATACTGTGGACACTGTGCCACAAACTACTTCCAATTTTTGTCGCTTTTAGCCAAAGGGTCCTCAGATGGCCACTTCTGCTGTCATATGACAGCTCAGATGGGCTCTGTCCCTAGGGTCTTCACAGAAGCCCACTAGGCCCAGCAAGAGAACAACAGCCAGCTCCCACAGCCCCGGCGGCACTGCTGCAGCCTCCCCTTACCTGAACCCCGGCCTCTCTGCAAGTTTCAATGACGTTCTTGGTGCCAAGGTAATTGACTCTATAGAAGAGCTCCCTGTTGCTACTGGACGGTGGGGGCGAGGCGCAGTGGAAGACCGTGCTCACCCCTTTCACAGCCGGGCACAGGTCCTGGAGAAGCAAACGGAAACAGCATCAGCCTTGACATTCCCTCTGGCTGCTCTGGGGCGCCGGGTCCCAGCCCCGTCTGATCCTACGAGCGTGGAAATCACTGTCTCGACGTCAAACCGTGCACAGAAACGTGTCATGGAACACGTGGTGTCCTGTCACCACCCCCTCATTAGCTGCTCCCCAATAAAAGGCAGTCTGGGCCATGAGATGTCTGCGCCCAGGAGGGAGGTGAGGGCAGACGCGGCACCTGGGGGTCGAATTCCGGGGGCAGACGAGCTCCTGGGCCTAGTCATAAAGCATGCAGACAAGCCCTCAGCTGGGCAAGTCGGCGAGCAGCCAGCACACGGAGTGTTCCTTGGGGAGCCAGAGGGGTTAAAACAGGTCTGCCAACGGACTGCTGACCGGAAACGGCGGCAACGCAGATGCAGGCGCAGAAGGGCCCGAAGAGCCAGGGACGCCGCGACACTCCAGAGAGCAGGAGGCTCGCCAACACGGCCCCAGGGGCGCAATCTGGCACCAGTAAAAGTAAGAGCCCGGGGCCCTCCCTGGTGGCGCAGCGGGTTAAAGCACAGCACTGAGAAGCCAAAGCCACTTCCGCATGAGTTCGATTCCCGCCTGCCCCGGAGGTGACCCCATGGCGTGGCAGACCTCTCCTGACCCGCCCGCTGCTCCCCTCAGCAGTGGACTTCGTCTATCTGCCTGTTCTGCTCCCCGCTCTGTCTCTGGTGAATCCTCTCACCCTCCGCATCTCTGGCCTGTACCCCAGTTCTATATGAATAAATAAATAAATCTTAAAAAAAAAAAAAAAAGTAAGAGCCCTCCTGAGCCTGCCTGGCACCGGGCACAGCCACAGCCTTTGCCTGACACTGTCTCCCTGGGAAAGCGGGGTGCAGCACAGCCCTGCCGCAGGCTCCCGCGCCGGCCGCGGGCAGGGCGGCACAGCACACTGAGCGATGGCTCTCCTCCGAACTGATGTTCAAGAAAATCTGGAACTAAGACACTAGCAACAGCAGTGTGGGAGCTGGGTGCCATCGGTGGGCAGAAACATCTGCCTGGGAGCGCCCCGGCCTTTGAGAGGCACAGCGCGACCTGCAGCTGCTCTTGCGTTCCCGGGGGGAAATGTGGCTTTCTCTGGGTACGCAGCTCTTGGCTTTGGGAGGTGCCTGGTTGCCTCAGGAGTGCGAGGTTAAGTGGAGGGCGCAGCGGAGCCGGCCTCTGCACGGGGCAGCCCGGTCAACACACAGGCTGGGGGCCTGTTACCTGCGCGCTGCAGAGGTCCCCCAGGAAGAAGTGCACGCGGGGATCCTCGAAGCTCTGCCGCATGTCGAACACGTTGACGGCGTAACCTCTCGCCAGCAACTGCTCCACCATGTGCTGGCCCAGGAAGCCGGAGCCCCCGATCACTGTGCACCTCTTGGCCTGCGGAGGAGCGGGGTGGCAGTGGGAGGCTGCAAAGAGCCGGCCACTCCTGTCACAGAGCCACTGAAGGCAGCCTCGTGCCTCTGAACCACGCTTTTGAGAACTGCCAGCGTGACACACCTGTGGCGTTCACCAGCCCGTGGCGTGCCCGAAACAGCAGCCAGCACAGCCCTCACCCTTCTGCCTCAGCGCGAGCGCGGCACTTTCTGCCCTAAACTCAGTCGCCAACGCTAAGCACGCCAGCTGCGTTTTAACCAGCGACGCCGCGCACAGGCCTTGCCGGCACTGTGCGGGACCTGCCCGAGCGCGGGGGTCTGAGCTTCTGGGCAGCTTCTCACTTTTGGGACGTGTTCGGTCAAGCGCGTCCTTGTGACCCGGCCTCTCGCTGGCTCTGCCTCTGCTTGTTCCATTTCGGCTCCAAACGGTCACGTCCGTGCTCAGCTCTTCTTGAAGACAGAGAGACGGACAATTAGTGTCTCTGAACCTGAACACCTTTTGCTGTTAGTGCTCTGCAGGGCTCCTCTCGAGGCTGCCCCAGCTGGCACGCGGACTGTGGCTCTCCTTCCCTCCGTGGGCACAGCCGGGCCTAGCTCAGAGGTCAGCGGGAAGCTAGCGGAAGACCCTCACTTATCGGTTACAATGAGAACAGCTCCGGCATCGCAGACTCTTGCGAAGCCCCTTCTCCTCAGGCCCTGGCACTGACCACCGGGATGGAGTAGAGCAGCCGGAAGGAAAGCAGAGGCCTGGGAGCCCCGGGCCCTGGCCTGGGCCCACCACCAGCTGGACAGCTGTTCTCCACCTAGGAAATGGGCTCAGCGCACCCGAGCCTGGGGAAGAGCGGAGCAGACACAGTCCTTGTGGCAGCAAGCGGCCCTCACTGAGCCTGAAGAGCCCAGAAGCCGGGCCCCAGCCACACGCCGCGCCGCCAGCAGAGGTGGCCGGGCTGCGCGGCAGCACAGTAGCAGCGTGAAGCGCGATGCCGAGCTGTCCTCCGGGCGCAGGGTCCACAGAGCAAAAGTCACGTAACTTGGGTCACACACGTTTGGTCTGCATACCCCCTTTTCTTGGCGGTGCTCAATTTACAGCAGCATGATCCCCAACAGTGGAGAAGGGAAAACTCAGCTTGGGGAAAGTAACTCAGCAGCAGCTGAGAAGGCGCAGGAGCGGCCTCCGGCTGATGGGGCGTGGCCTGCAGCGGGCCCCAGGCACAGAGCTGCCCTTCTGGGCAGGCCCAGCAGCTCCCCTGAGGGCGCACATGGCTGCCCTCTGCCGACTTCTTGGACAGTCTGCACAGCTGTGGGCTGAATGCTGGTGCCAGGCCCCTGAGCCTGTGAATGGGTCTCGGCCTGCAAAAGAGCTTTGTCAAAGCATCAAGTTATAGATCTCGAAAGGCAGGCCCCGTCGAGTGCCCTGTTCAAGGCCAAGGGGAGGGGGAAGGGGGTGGTCATGTAAAGAGGGGCCAGAATGCACAGGGGCACAGCCACAAGCCAAGGGGGTCTGCACGGCCCAGAAGCGGAGAGGCCAGCAAGGTACTTCTCCGGCACCCGCGGTAAGCGAGGCTCGGCTGGCATCTTCACCCAGATTCTGACCTCTAGAAGGGAGGCGAGCGGTATCTCCTGCTTCCAGCCGTCAGATTTGCAGCCACTTCTTATAGTGGCCACAGGAGATCGCCCCCCCCCCATCCTAAAGCCACGTCACAGCAAGGGCCTGCGGAGCCCACCCCTTAGCACACAGTACCGGAGAGGTCAAGTGACTTGTGCAAGGGCACACAGCTAGCACATGGCCAAGGCAGAACTCTTTCTTTACTTTATTCGGCCAGGCTGTCACCCCAAGGTGTGGAGATGAAATTAGAGGGACGATCAGGGGCTACCCTGGGAGGCTGAGAGCCCAGGCTATGGAGTTTGGCCTTTACCCTCTACTCTTGGGAAGCTTCCAAAGGCTGAAGGGCAGGGGATGAGCTGGCTGGACTGTCCACTGGGAAGATGAACGGGTGACAAAGGTGAGGGAGGTGAGAACAGAAAACAGGAACTACTCACTACTCACCAGGGCTCACCTCCCAGTGCAGGGGCAAAAGAGAACCACAAGGACGACAAGGACTATGGGAAAGTGGGGCAAGCTGCGGGCCTGGGGCTGCAGCCTTAGCAAAGAGCTGAGGGTGGCTCCCTCAGTCCTGGGCCAAGGCTGAGGCTGAAGGGCCAGCTGGAGCAGCACGCCTAAGGCAGGCGTGTCTGAGCAGTGGCGGCCCAGCGGGCAAGCCAGTGTCCCGGCGCAGTAGCCAGGGCAGGCCAGGAGGAGGGCGGCTGGCCGAGTCTGTGGAGAGCCCGCCTTCACAGGCCTTCAGCGGCATGGCTGACGGCTCCAACTCCTTGGGAGGCAGCTGTAGAAGGCCGGCACTGAGGAGAGGCCGAGGAGGGACAGAGGAGCGGGGTGCTGGGGAAGGTCTGGGCCTGGCTCACTTCCAACACTTTGGCCTAACACATGCAAGAAACCTCTAGCCTTTCTCAGCCTGAAACACTTCTGCTCTGGCCCCCTCGGCCACTGCCCCAGCCAGCCACCTGGAGGGCAGACTGACCTGGAGGGCAGCCCACATCTAAGTACACTGCTAAGTATCTGTGTGACTGTCCACGTACAAGAGCCACTCGTGTTTCCCAAGCCGCGCTGCCTCTGCTCGAGGGTGTCTCGGCTGGGGATGCTCGCCCCAGCGACACCGAAAGGTGAAGATATTTTCACGATCTGCCCCTCTCGACCACTCCCATCTGCTTTACTCCCTGCAAAGGCCATGGCCAGGGGACGGGCTACTCTCCAAGGGTACTTTCCGCCAGGTGAGCACGGCAGGGCTCGGGCAGGCCCGGAGTGCTTGCTCGGTCACTCTCTGCCTACATCCAGGGGGGGTTCTTTCCAAAGGGACCCCTCCGACAGAGCCTTGCATTGACCCTGTGGCCCCCTCCCAGCCGCCCGCGATGACGCCCCGCATGCCCCTGCCCCTCTCGGATCTTAGTGGTGGGTGGACATTCCCCATGCAGAGGAACGTGAAGGCCGGAAGGCCCAAAGATAAGTTTCGATTCCCCCTGGAGTAAATGTTCCAGGAACTAACTGTTATCTGCACCAGGCATCCAGCAAGCAGGGACTTGAGATCGCCCAGCCCCTCCCACAAAGCCTTTATAATTTATAAGCCCATGACTTTAAGAGTGTCCGCTGCCTCCGATCGCTCTGGGCCGGACCCTAGCTCGAGCTAGCTGGTAAAGGTTCGCTTTGCTTTTACATCAGACTTGGGTCTCGGTCGTTACTGGACTCAGCGCTTTCATACTTTAACATCTGGGGGCTTGTCTGGTCGCCCGACCACCCTGTCTGCTGTGTACCTCCACATGGGCTCAGTGTCTGAGACCCGGAGTCAGGAGATGTCCCGCTAGGTCAGGCACAAGTGCAGTTCGCCTTGCTGTCTCCCTCCAACGAGGAATCCGGAGCAGTGCTGGTGCGACCGATGTGAAATTTCAGTCCTATTGCCATACCGGTGAGATCCTGCAGGCTTTTGTCTGTCGGCTGGCTTGTTTTGTCTTGCATTTGTGTTGTTTACGGTGTTTGTTTGGGTGTCCCCCTTGTCTTGGGTGGATCAGTCAGATGCTGGTCGGCTGCCAGCAGGAGGGTTAAGAAGTCCTCTCCCCTCAGAGTTTTGTGCGTTTGTCTTTATTGTTCTGTGTGTTTGTGTATATCCCTCGAGTATGGGGGTGTCTGTAGGTATCTACTCCCCTTGAGCTCCTTCTCTCCAATTTCAAAGATGTTAGAACCTGAGCCAGCAACCTCAGTTTGGCTATCAAAAGGTTGAAACTAACTACCCTTTGTTCTGCAGAGTGGCCATCATTTGGCAGTGGATGGCCCTCAGAAAAATCGTTTGATCTGCCCCTCATTCATAGGGTTAAGTCGGTTGTGGTTCCACAGGCCACCCAGACCAGATTCCTTACGTTCTTTTGTGGCAGGACCTTGTCCAGGATCTGCATGCCGGGCTCTGCTCTTTCTAGCCCCCTCCCAGAGAGCTCCCCCGCTCCAGCCTTCTCCTGAAGAATGGGCCTGGCAGCGGGAGGCCCGAGGGCAGCTTCTCAGGACTCAACTGCTCTATCGCTAACGTAGGCTACCGTAGCTGGCCGTGGACAGCCAGCTGACCTGAGATGACTGCTAGCAGCTCCTCCAGGTCCTGTTTACCACAGAGGAGTGGGACCCGGTAATTGTCACCACCTGGAAATTGGTGTGGGGGGTGGACGGCCAGCCCACCACCAACGCTGCCCTCATTGATAGCTTTCCCCCTTACCCATCCCAGTTGGGACTTTAATCTGGCAGAAGGTAAGTGGCATCTCCAGGTATACTGCTAGACTCAGGCGGCTTCTGGAAAGCCCACTAATCTGACAAAGGTAGGGGATGTCCAACAGGGGAGGGAGGGGTCCCCAGCCGCTTTTCTGGAGCGCCTCCTACAGGCCTCAAACAGTATACACCCACCGGTCTGGAAGCCCCGGGAAACGGGGCAATGGGACAGCCGTTATTATGGCCTTTGTCAATCAGGCAGCTCCGGACAGTAAAAGAAAACTACAGCGTGTATGCAGAAGTTTTACTCAAGATAGTAGGTTGGACCAGGGGACAGATCAATGATGGCGCCTGAGGCCACTTGGCTGGCTTCTCTTAAGCTTGGAAGTTTTTGTTATTTTGGGCTCCTCCCAAGATTTTCCACTTCCTTTGTTAACTAAAGTTGCTAGGATTTTGGACTTTTTTTGTGTGATCTTTGCTGTTTTGCAGATCTTGTTAGCATTTCTGAAGTTAAAGTTTCTCAGAGGGTAGACAGCTTTGACTTTGACCACTTCCTGACCCTTAGGGGTTTTTGTAAGCCAACAATGGAACAGTAATGTTCAAATTAGCAAATGTTTGCTTGGACAAGAAAGACTAAGCCTTGAGCAGTAACTGGTAAGTGCTGGTAACCTTAATGGATTCTTGGAAATAGCTTGAATTTTTGCCAAGTATGGATCAGAAAAATTTTTGAGTCTAAAGGGTTTGCTGCTGTAAATTTTGTCTATGCAATTTGTTTGGGGCATGTTTGCCATTTGAGTTCCGGATCTGTTTGATTACTGGTGTAAGACAATATTCTAATATTCTGCTTCCTACTGAAAAAGTTCTGTTAAGAAAAAAAAGCACTCTTTATCGCGTATGACATAACTGTACCAGGTTTTCATACCTGTTTTGTTATGCTTTCTCTCTTGTGTGGAGAGGTACAACCTATACCGTGTGGTGGAGGAAGGAATGCAGGGGAGGCATCTCAAGACTGAGTCGCACAAAGGGGATAGATAGAAGGGGCCAGTGCAGCAACTGACACAGCCAGAACATCAAGGTCCTCAGGCACCAAAGCCTGATGACCAGGATGCCAGAGATGCCAGGATGTCTCCAAGAGGTCCCAGCAGATGAC